AATTCGGTGACGTTAAAATTGCCGGAGGGAAATGGAAGAGGAAGCCTTTTCTTATCATGCAGGCCGAGGCACAAGCGGTCCGCTTAGCCTTATCGGCCTTTCCCGCCATCTTGCCATCCACCATGGACATTTGGGTAGACAACACTTTGCTGCAAGGAGCGGCGAATAAATGCAGCTCAAAATCATACTCCATGACGTGGGATCTGCGACGGATATGTTTGTTTTTGGACTCTCGCGGAGTGCAGGAATCCTTTGTCTACGTACGGCCAGCGTAAAAAACCGCAGACGGCATATCATGCGGTCGTGTTTTTGCACCTCAGGACTTGGCAAGGGGTGGAACTTGCGAAGGGGAGCGGCGGTTTCTTGTGGCTGCAGGACCACAAGGTCTGCCACCTAGTAATAAATAAATATCCAATCTGAGTAGAGTGAGCAGGGCCACAGTTGAGCCTAACGTATGGTATAATATATATATACACTTCTTAGGTATTGAACTTTGGGAATGTGGTGAATCCACTCTTATTCCATTTATTCCTTTCTTATTCCTATCTGGTCTGGTTTCTATTATTGATAAACTCATGATCCGGCCAGCTGCCCGGAAGATTATTCGCTTATATATTTCCTGTGAAAGGATTCTTTTCTGTAGAAATGCCCTTGCGAGCGCTTGCCAAATTTCTTTTGCATTGATTACTTCTTTACATTTTTTTATTGTTGTTTTTCATGTCTAATTCTGCCGCTGGGTTTTATTACAGGAAAAGGAAACGGCTCAAACGGGTGGAGACCCCCATGGTGGTGCTGCTTTTTGTTGTTTGCGCCCAATAGGCAAATAAAGAAAGAAAATTCGGCTATTACGCCAAGGTTCTGATTGAGGTACTGTTTCTTGCGGTTGCTTTTTGGGGTGGTGATGGGGGAGGTGATTGGGGAAACACTGGGTACAAAATGTGACTTGAAATCCTCAACTGCGTTTTCAGAATGTCTGGAGAGTTGTCGCCCTGAGATATAACAATGCCCTGCATTGAAGAATAGTTATTTTATATTTTTGTGCCTGCGACGTCTTTATGCTGAACTGATGTTTCTTTTCTTATTCGCGGGTGTCGATAGGAAGGTTTAAAACATGTTTGCTGTTTTCGGGCATGTAGGACGGCTGGTGACTGTGCTTTTTTTTTTGAGTTTACATGAGAGGAATGGGGATTGAGCGGTGCGGGATATGTGGTGGGTGCCGCAGGCTTGTTGGCCCGCGATTTGGGTGCCCTCCAAAATTCATTACATTTTGGGCTCCTCAACGAACACTTTTATTCTTTATGGAATCATGTGGTGTTACAAATGACACCCTGGACTGTTGTGTTCCGCCATCCTTTTTTTTTTTTTACTGGATGTATGAGAGCTTTGCATGCTGCGGCGGGAACTGCATTTGTTACTGTGCCATTGGTCTCTTTTTTCCTTTTGTTTTCATTCTTAGCCATTTTTTACTTTTGTTGCTTATTTTGTTGCTGGTCATGCTGAGACTCCTGCGTGCTCCGTGCCTCCACTTCACTTACTAAATGGAGGTGCATGACCATTGCTTGGGAAGGAGCCTTTTTTTTTTGTTCAAATTCACACAGAACCATCATTGAGCACATTTTTCTTTTATACTTCCTTTGCTTTCAGGAGGTGCTCCTTTGGCCTTGCCTCCAACTGGATATGCGCGGAGTTACACGCATTTTAAAAACCGAGGCCACGAGCCTTTTTTGTAAAGGATGCTTTATCTTTCTTCTAACATTAAATTTGTTGTCCATGTTGATGTTTTTTTTTTGGAGTGGAGCCCCTACTTGGCGACGATCCCACGTATGGTTTGGTGCTGATCCGACCAGGGCGGACTATATCCACTGCGTCGGGGAAAGGCTTCTGGTGGATCCAACGACACGGTGGCTGGGGGAAACAATAACGGGACGGACGTTATCCCGTTGATGGTGGTCCCGCTGATGCTCGATCTGATGGACTTTCGGAGGATGATGTGCAACATCAGTGTGCCCATCCGGCTGTTGGTTTTGGTGCAGAACGGGCGGGAGGCGATGCTGTCGTTGTGCCTGCAGGAACTCGAGAGGGTCTATGGGTGATCCGGACGCCTGGTTGTGAGTCGTCACCCGGAAAACATCGGGTACAGCGCTGCGGTGAACATCGGGCCACGACTTGCACTCTCGCTGCCGCGCGAGGAGGTGCCTTTTGTTTTTGTGAGAAACAGCGACGTAATGTTTTTACCCGATCTTCTTCCCAACCTTCTACGCGATGTGCATGAAATGACGAGGCATGATGCCGCTCGCATGGATGAGTTGTCGGCGTAGGTGGCGAATGAGCCGAGCGAGTACAGTCCTGTTTTGCGACGGGGCTTGAGGGTGCTGCGCTCCACGGTGAACGATAACCGATTGTCGACGTCTGCGCTGCTGCCTGACCGCATTCGTTATGCTTCTGTGAAGGAGCGTGAAAAGGCGTTTTCGAAGCATTACGGGCACTTCTGCGCGTATTACAAAAGCAGTTGTTTTACATCTGTTATGTTGACACGCCTGGCGATCGGCACGGTGGGATATTTTGACGAGAACTTCTACCCAGCTTACGTGGAGGATGTCGACTAAAGCTTACGTCTCCGTTTGCTTGGATTTCAGGAGCGGAATGTCTTATGCGGCAAACTTCTGCATCGCGGCAGCTCGAGTATTCGTTCCTCTAATGAAATGGAGCTACCGGACGCTCTCTGGTACCGTCGCGTCGAGTCTTTGATGACGAACCAACCATATGCCATGATGAAGTGGAACCGTCCACAGGCGTGCAGTGGCGGGTACAAGAAGCCATATGACGGCATGGTCCCCCGCAGACGTTTGGGTGAAGGATGAGGCACGCATACAGCGCATTCGGGTCCACGGGCATGACGAGGAGCAAGGGGTTCCAAGTATTGACTACGACAGGAGGCTTTTGTACCCTGTGAGGAATAAAGGAAGATGATTCGGCAACAAACACAAGTTTTGCTTTCTTATTTTGTTTTGCCTTAATTTTTAAAAATTTACACCTCTGTTTGGTTATTTACACGATTAATATTTAAGCGAGTACGCCGTGGATTTTAAGAGCGTAAACGTATATTTGACATGACGGGGGAGGAGAGGGCGCAGCGTCCAAACTTGGCAGTGCTGCCGAAGGTAGGAGAGGGAAGTAGAAAGTAAGAAACGTGAAGATGATGGATGAGGGGGAAATAAAAGGGGAGGGAAGCAGAAAACAAGCCAAAAATATTGTGAGCATAACGCTGTTTCTCACCGTGGGCGATCGACACCGCCATTGGCTACTAATTTACCCACTGAAGGTGACACCCGTTTCCGCTGTATATGCTGCGTGCATATCTGTTGGGCTCTTTGTTTGTTCTGTTGTTTTGTTTGTCTCCCGCACATTTATTTCTTCGTGCCGCCTGACCCACTCGTTTATTATTCCCATTTCTGTTTTTGTGCGTGTACCGAGAGAAGGGCTCGGGGACATGAAGTGCGCTCCCCTTCTGTGAGATGCCACCAAAAACAGGAGGAGAAAGAAGAAAAGTGAAGCGGGGAGGGGAACCATCGCCACGCGTCCTTTTCTCCGAGAAGGCTGCTCGCCACGCCGCTGAGGCGCGCCGTGTGCTTCACGAGGCCCGCTGGACTCGATTGGGGAGCCGTGAATGATGTTGCGTGAGAGTGTGGCGGATGCGTCCCCCAGACGTCCCCAGAGGATCCTCGGGCCATAGGGACTGCGCGGAATGCGGGATTCCGCGGGGATATTTGCCCGTTTTGTTTTTATTTTTTATCCGCCTATCCCAAACCTCAACACGGCGGCTGAGCCAACGACTGCGACGGGATCCGTTGCGTATTTCTGAATCTTTTTGCGTTGCAGCGACAGGCCTGGTGTGTCCTGCTCGGCAGACACGGTGGACGGAAGTGGGCTGCCCTATCGGGAAAACGATGGTCACGGCGGAGCGTGTTGCGCACTTCGCAATTTGGCGTGTTTGTGGCGATCCTTTCGGATGATGTGACGGCGCCTTTTTTACTTGCGGGGAGAGAAGCGATGCTCCACGGTGGTGCACACGTTGCGGGTGGAGGCTTCTATTGCTGTTGGTTTGTGAATGTTTATTTTTTGCTTTTGCCGGAACACCACAGAGGGCGGTGTCTGCGGACAGCAGAGCATTGCGAGGAGGGGCACCACACTATTTTTAGCTTGACGAGGCGGCTTATGTGACTTTACGGTGTTTATTTTTAGGCTTGAGAGGCTATTCTTTGCTGGAATGTATTGTGGGAGACCATCCGCGTATATATATATTTCAATCCCTTGGCATTTGGTGTCTGCCGTGAAACAGATGTTGATGGCCGTTTTATGGCGGTGAGATGCATGTTTATTTGTTTTATTGGCGAGTGGGTGAATTGAGTTGCGTTCTGCCATGCGGCTTGTTGCTGAGGGCGAGTGGCCGCAGGGAGACGTTATGAGCGCCTCCGACATGAGGTGCGATTGAGCAATCATCTCCTCCGCTCGCCGGTACACGCTGTTGAGGCGGCGTGGTGGTAATGAATCGGCCTCTCAGAAGGGTAACGAGAGGACGTTTGCTCTTCCTGCTGCGGTGTACGAGTGAACCTCCAATCCGTGGGTGGGGTCACTCTGCGTGCCTTATTTCTTTGAATTTCCATGAGCTTTGCACATGGCCATCCACACGCACATGCACACAATCCCCCTGTTTGCCCTCCTGTGGGCGGGAGACCGGGATGCAGAGGGAAAATGTGGCCCGTGCCAGCATGTGGTAAAGTCTTTCTTGGGAGGGGTTGCGACTGTGATGTCCGTCCTGGCAGGCAGGAATGGGCTGAGAGGAGAGCGGAGGGCGAGTAACAACGATCGTGTGCGGGGCAATGCGCAGTGACTAGGGCGAAGTGATATTTATGTTGACTTTTCAAAGCATTTTTGTCCTTTTTTTGTGTGACGATGGAAAGGAACTTTGGGTGATGCGTTGTGGATTATTTGCACATGATTCATCGCGGCAACACCATTTGCGGAGAAAATGGATGACATCTGCGTGAGGCTTGCTTTTTGAGCGCGAGATGGTCGGGGAGGTGCTCAACGCCCCGAGAGGCCCGGAGCAAAGAGGCCTGCACTGCTGCAAGCATAGGGATGCACGCTCCTGTTGGTGGCGTTGCTGTGGAGCCCTGAAGGGCCTGCAGGGAATTTGTTTTTTCCCGCTTCAATATTTTGTTGATTGGTGCTTGCCGCGGCCTTTTGAGGCGGGGCGTGGGATGGACCGAGAGAGTGAGTTTCGTGCGACTGTGCTGTGAATTGGTGCTGCCCACTTTTGTGCAGATAATTCCGTTTGTGTCCGCGTCGTTGCCGCGGCAGTGCACTGGGAGCGTGTGACTGATCACTGTATCACTTGCAGACTGTTTCGGCAGTAATTTGAATGGCGTCGCCGAATAATGAATTTCCGCGTCCATGTGTTTGTGTTGTGTTTGGCTTCCGCCGTGTTCCGCCGTGTTTTTTTTTTTTCTGTGTGCAATTGTTTTCCATGCTGTTCCTTCTGTGTTCTCTCGAGTCCTGCACTTTGCGTGGGCGCTCTGCTCTGCTCCTCACTGACGTGTCCGATGTGCTGCCGCTGTTGTTTTCTTCTCCACTTCTTGAACACAGACACGCTAGGAAAGAAAGCAACCAAACGCGAATCGCTACTGTGAAATTTTAAGGCTCTGAAGGGACCAACAACACACACACGCCCTCAAAAACACATATTTATATGCTCTCACGTGTTGCTGCAGTCATGGCGCCCCGCACACACAACCGTCGCCGCGTGACCGGATCCAGCGGAAGGAGGGAAGGAAGAGAGAGTGAGCCGCGGATGCCCAACATGTCCCGGCATGTGTTTACTTCCGCGGTGCTGCTTCTACTTGTTTTGTTGATGTGCTGTGGTACCGGTTGGGTTGCGGCCGCTGGGGGTAAAACAAGGAATACCATTGATCCTTTTAAAGGGAGGGCGTCGATATCATTTGCCAATTGGAAGGAGTTTAACGAGGATGGCGGCAAAATCACCTCGCTCCGTGTTCCTGGCCTCGTTAAAGTGGGTGATGATGTATTTGCCGTGGCTGAGGCGCAGTGTGGGGAGAAGGATGGAGCCGGCAGCTGTCCTGGGATTGTGTCAAAGCACCTGAATATAAGTGGCAGCGCAATGGATATTTCTACGTCGGATTTAAGTTTGTTTCGCATGCAACTTGTGGACACCGCCGCGAGTAGTTTTGGGACAACAGAAGTGTTGCGGCCAACGACGGTTGTAATTGGGAACAGTGTCTACATGCTGGTGGGGAAATACGGCCATAAAGAGAAGCAGGTTGAAGGTACGAATGAGCGGGGTCTTTTACTCGTGAAGGGAACTGTCACGGTGGATGGTGAAAAGAAGAAACTTGTGTGGAATGAGACCCATTTGGTGAACCCTCAAGGCAGAGGATATTCTCGTTCCTTGACCGAGTTAGTTGGTGGCGGAGGATCGGGTGCTGTGTTGCGTGACGGCGCGCTTGTGTTTCCCATGCAGGCCAAAGACAAGGATGGAACGAACGTTTTGCTGTCTATGCGTTTCTCCAATTCAGGGAACAAATGGGAGCTTCCATACGAGACGCCTGGTAACGGCTGCAGGGATCCAACCCTGGTGAAGTGGAAAGAAAACGAAGACGACGAAAGACTCTTCATGATGGCTCATTGTGCTGGAGGCTACTATGACGTTTACATGTCCACTGAGAATGGGTACAATTGGTACGGACACTTAAAACAAATTACCCGCGTGTGGGGTAACACACACAATCGAACAGGGGACGGCGTCCAGAGTGGATCCACCACCGCAATTATTAAGAGAAAGAAGGTGATGCTCATCACCGCGCCGGTGTATGCGAACGACAATGGAAAAGGTCGGCTTCATCTTTGGGTGACGGACAAGGCACGTGTGTATGATGTTGGGCCGGTATCCCGTGAAGATGATGACGCCGCCGCCAGCTCGCTGTTGATGAAAGAGAAGAATAAGGAGTTGATTTCACTGTACGAGAACAAGAAGAAAGACGGAGCATACAATCTTGTTGCTGTGCGTCTGACCGAGAAACTGGAGCGGATAAAGGAAGTGGTGAAGAAATGGAGGGATTTGGACAGGGCCTTGAAAACATGCCGTTCCGGTTCCGGTGGCACTGTTGACGCGCTCAGAAAGGATATGTGCAATGGTCGTGTTCCCACCAAAGGGCTTGTTGGCTTCTTGTCCGGTAACTCAACTCAGACCGAGTGGAGAGACGAGTACCTCGGCGTGAATGCAAAAGTGACGAATGTGGAGAAAAGGGTTCCCAATGGAGTGACGTTCAAAGGGTCTGGAGCAGGGGCGGAGTGGCCTGTTGGCGACATGGGGCAGACTGTGCCGTACTACTTTGCGAACACCGAGTTTACTCTTGTGGCGACGGTGTCTATCCACGAGGTGCCGAAGGAAGACAGCAGCCCCGTTCCTTTGATTGGCGTGAGGATGAATGACACCAGCAGCACGGTCCTCTTTGGTCTGTCGTACACCCATGACAAGAAGTGGTTGGCCATACCGGAGGATCCTGCTACTTCGAAGATCGTCGATGAGTGGGAGCCAAACAAGACATATCAGGTGGCACTGCGAATGGATGGTGATGATGAATGGACTGTCTTTGTGGATGGAAAGGGAATTTGCCACACGAAATATAATGAGAGTCTGTTTGACTCGCACAGGATTTCACACTTCTACATCGGTGGGGACAGTAAGGACCGAAGTGCAACGGGCGGCCATGTGACGGTGACCAACGTCATGCTGTACAACGAGGAACTGTGGGGAAATGAACTGCGCAAACTCAATGCCAGCAAAGTCACTATTCCATCACTGAGTGTCGAGAAACAACCCACAGAACAGGCGGCCAGCAAAGACGTCTCGGTTGCTTCCGAGCCAAGGAGTGAAGAAAGCGCCGCCAGCCATGAGGAATTGACTGAGGATGATACTGATGAACAAGAGGAAGAAATTGTCGATGATCTGCTGCTTGCAGCATCCTCTTCCGAGGCTGACGGAACTGAATTTTCTTCTGAAGACGTCGAGGAGGTGCTACAGACAGTCGACGCCGCACCGGGCAACACAAACACCACGCCTGGAGGCGAAGGGATCCCCTCAACAAAAGGCGCGGCACGACACTCGGACAACAACACCTTCACCGGGGAAATTGCGGAGTTGCTGTCCATGGGTCTGAACCGTGACAGCACCGTGCATGGGTGTGTGTCTCGGGTGTTGTTGCTGCTTCTGGGGCTGTGGGGCGCTGCGACTCTCTGTTGAATGAATTGGGGAGAGCAAAGTTGCGAAATTCTGTGGAGCAACAACTGAGCGGCATCCCAGCAATACTCAATGAGTTTTGTTAATTTCATTTTTTTTTTCTCTTTTTTTTCTTGTGCTTGTTTTCTTTTCTGCAAATCGCTTTCCTTTTTTTTTTTTGGGAGGGGTGCCGTGTGTTTCCCGCCCAACTGCTCCACTCGCACACCCACCGACACGCACACGACGACGGCCCTGTGCGCCTCGCCTGCTGCACGCATGAGGAGGGGCCGCGACGAACGGCGCGCTGAGGGAGCCGTGACGTGTGGGCGTGCGACGAGGGCCTGTGGGGCGGAGCACACATTTCTTTCCCTCTTGTTTTTTTTTTTATGCGGCCAGGGCGGGCAGACACCCGCAGCGCCACACACACAGCCACACCCTGCCGCCGTGTTTTTCTTTTTTTAGTATATTGCTTTCCGTGTTCATTTCACGTGCTGGCAGTCCCGTCAGCATTTCTCCCCTCCTGATGATTTTTTTTCTTTTGCTGCGCTCACTCTCCCGATGGAGTGACGCGACTCCCGTCATGTCTGCGTGCTTCTCTCAGTCCCCACACACACGAGTGACTGTGCTCTGCGGGCCGCACTCGCGCACCGATGGGAGGGCTGAGGGGAGCAGCAACACGCAGATGACCCCATGAAATATAAACGATGTGCGGACACACGGAGGGTCGGACGGTTTAAAGACATGCAACTATTCAATTTTATTTTCGGACAAAATGTATGCAGACAGTTCCTGGAGCAACGTGGTAGTTAGGTGCTTTTTTGTGTGTGGTTCTTTTTTCCTTTTTTTTCCTTTTTATCATTTTTGTGTGGAACAGTAATAGAGGACAATTTTTTCATTTTTTCTTTTTCTTTTTTTTTTCCACTTTTTTTCAGGGTGTGAGGTGTGGAAAGGGGATTGTTTTTTTCTAATTATTTTATTAAATTTTTAATGAATTGCCGCTGCTTTGTCTGCAGCGCAATATCATGAGATTGAGCAGTCTTTTTCCCTTTATTTCTGCCATGCACCTCTGCTGTGCATTTTTGTTTGTGCGTCTCTTTAAATGCTCTGCTCCTTTTTTTTCTTACCTTTTTGACTGGTGACTTCAGGCACACACACACACAGACACACAAAATACACATTGCAGTGGACTTTGTTGCTACTTTTTTATTGCGTGCGGGTGGTTGGCGCCTCCTTCTGTGGGCATGAAGTGAGGGGAGGAGAGGGAGAGCGCGCACGGCGAGTCACTCTTCTTCCTGTGGGTGTGATGCACCACCTGTGACTTCCTTGGGTTGGGCATCAAATTCCATTGTGGGTGGAATGGCTGGAAATGTTGTCGCCGCGTCATGGATGGATGCGGAATCGCTTTTGCGTGCGGCTCTTTGGGTGATTGCTTGCTCGGTGTGCATTGTGTTGGCTGCGGGGCTGTGGCTGTATGCCGTTGGCCGTGGGACTGTGCTGGAGGCGGTGGCGGTGGGTCTCTTCACTTTCATTGTGGGTAATTGCTGGCGGTGTGTGAGTTTGTTGTGTGGAGGAGCAAATCCTCTCGCCCGCGGACGGACGGCACTGTGATGGTGTTTGTGTGTGTGTGAAAGGTCGCGTCCTTTCAGTATGGACTTTTTGCGGTTTGCTGTGTGTTTGGGCATGTTTTTCGTTGTGCGCATGAGTGCCTGGCGTGTTTTACCGGAGCGTTGGGCGCCACCATCCGCCATGGCCAATTTGTATGGTTGAGGACGCGTGTTAGGGTTAGGGTTAGGGTTAGGGTTAGGGTTAGGGTTAGGGTTAGGGTTAGGGTTAGGGTTAGGGTTAGGGATTAGGGTTAGGGTTAGGGTTAGGGTTAGGGTTAGGGTTAGGGTTAGGGTTAGGGATTAGGGTTAGGGTTAGGGTTAGGGTTAGGGTTAGGGTTAGGGTTAGGGTTAGGGTTAGGGTTAGGGTTAGGGTTAGGGTTAGGGTTAGGGTTAGGGTTAGGGTTAGGGTTAGGGTTAGGGTTAGGGTTAGGGTTAGGGTTAGGGTTAGGGTTAGGGTTAGGGTTAGGGTTAGGGTTAGGGTTAGGGTTAGGGTTAGGGTTAGGGTTAGGGTTAGGGTTAGGGTTAGGGTTAGGGTTAGGGTTAGGGTTAGGGTTAGGGTTAGGGTTAGGGTTAGGGTTAGGGTTAGGGTTAGGGTTAGGGTTAGGGTTAGGGTTAGGGTTAGGGTTAGGGTTAGGGTTAGGGTTAGGGTTAGGGTTAGGGTTAGGGTTAGGGTTAGGGTTAGGGTTAGGGTTAGGGTTAGGGTTAGGGTTAGGGTTAGGGTTAGGGTTAGGGTTAGGGTTAGGGTTAGGGTTAGGGTTAGGGTTAGGGTTAGGGTTAGGGTTAGGGTTAGGGTTAGGGTTAGGGTTAGGGTTAGGGTTAGGGTTAGGGTTAGGGTTAGGGTTAGGGTTAGGGTTAGGGTTAGGG